GATGTTTTTCAGTGGCAGCAGAACTATGACTAAACTTTTGGGTGAAACTTGTTTACTTTTTTCATACTTTTATTACTTGTGGGAAAACTTGAAACAATTTTAAATAAGTATAAAGAATGGCATTGGTTTTGTACATTTAATTTTTGTTTAACGTTATTAATAAAAATGTTGTTCAATTAGCATGTTTTTGTGTTTTGCTTTGGTACCGAAATTGGTACCGAGAACCGTGGATTTTCACTGGTATTGGTACCGAATACTGACATTTTGGTACCGTGACAACACTAATAGAGAGTTCCACTATGCCCTGATGAACTGCAGTGCTATACGTTTATTTTTGATTCTCCTCTCTTGCATTTCTTGATTTAAATTAAATCAGCTGAATAAGTTTATTGTGTTACATTAGTGAAGTGCTGGCAGCATGTCATACGGCTCCAGAAGGTTCCAGAAATAACTTCATGACTGACTATGGGTCAAAGATGTGACACACGTTTGTATTCAAAAATGCATAAAAAATGCAATTCATTAATAAAAATGACTTGATTACAATACAGCTATGACAAACCTGTTTTCAATTTCGGAATAACAGTCATTTGAATTTATAATAAGAATAATAAGGAATATCTAAAAAAAAAAGTCAGTGTAGCAATAATCAACATGCATGTAGCCAAGACCAAAATCTCTGTAGGCTAACATTGAAAAAAAAATAAAAAAATAAAATAGAGTAGGCCTAATATATATATAAGCAAAAAAGGCCTCTAACACTAGCTTGCTCTATTCTTTTTCTATTCTGTTTTCTTTATTATAATATAATTAAAAAAAACCTTGCTACCTGGGGCCCGTTCTTCGTAGGTCGCTTATTATATCCGAGATGAAATGTCACATCCAAGATGATATAATCGCGCTAATCAGGATCTGGGTAATTCGGTTCTTCGAATGCACCTGTTGTTGATGATTAGTATATATATATATATATATATATATAAATAAAGTATGTATATGTATGTAGGCTACGTATATAATCTCCTTGCATGTCACTTAGACCTATGATTTCATCGTAATTATTTCAGTTTTCTTTTAGGCCTATTTATTTACCGCGAACTATAGTGAATGTTTTAGTTTCTGAAGTTAAAAACGCGTACTGTTCAGAGGTCACGGTAAGATGTTGACATCTTATAAGCACGCAATGCGGCTGTCAGGAGGAGCGCAACTATCCGCATTAGCGGTTCGCCACCGGTGACTCGGGAAACTCCGTCATTCCGGTACCGAAGGCTTCCGATCAGGGAACATGGAATGTCGTCACACAGGCACAACAGACAAAGAGGAATTATTTCAGAGTAATCAAGAAGAATGAATGAATGGCTTGTGTCGACATGTCCTGTCTTTTAGCGCGGGTCATCGCAGCATTACGCGCTCTTACTCAGGTTTCCTCTGCAGAATGAGTAGTACAGTGTTTCAGTTCAGTGGTAAAGTGTTTCAGTTTCCGTGAAAGGTAAACCAGCCTCTGTTGTGTCCATGGCCGACAAAAAAAAAAAAAAAAAAGATTTTCGCAGTGCCAGTGTGATGACTGACTCAAGCCGTGACTGACTGCGGCTTGTCACATCAGTTGAGTTTACCTAGAAGCAGCCGCACATTTCACACAGCGGGTTTGGCCACTTTTATAAACTAAAAATAACTACTTATAACCGAGTATAAATAGGCCTACATCATTAATGTTTTAACCCATTTTATCCTCCCTTGCTCTCTCTCTCCTTGTTCCTATATGTTTGCTTAAAGGTCTTAAGAATAATGAGTTTAGCTGCAGCCATAGAAGATATTAGGCAGGAGGTCTATACAAAACACATCTATATCTATGTGAAATTACCCCTTACCTCAGTAGATTTCCTCATTTTCTTCAATGAATCCAGTGAGCTCAACCTTGACGTTTCTGTTTCCTGTATCATTTTAGAGAAGGAGGTGTGTGTCTTCCTCTGCAAGCGGCTTGCTTCCGCCTCACACTGAACAGCTCAAATACAGGAACATGGTGAAGGAGAGGAAGAAATAGAGAGAAGTTATTGATACTGCCTTAGTGGATCAAAATAAAATAACGTGGCATCCATAAATAAAAACACAAACATATTCATCTTAAACATCTACAGTATATAGTCTATTATTTGTAACAATAGCCCAAATCTACAAAAAGACAGTTTAGAAATGCTACTCACTCTCAATGATTTATCTGCTATTGCCTCTTTCAACAGCAAAAGAGATAATGCACATCCAACTAAATCCTACTGGAATGCTTGCCAGGAGCCACGATGCAGACTGAAAGATAAAACTTTAGCAAAATGCACAATGCAGGAGCTAAAAAGAGGTGGGGAAAATACTGACATGGACAACAGAGATCAGTGACTGTGAAGTTAACAAAGTGGATAATGCCATGAGATTGCATTCCAGTGCTGTTGTGTTTTCTTTCAGTGGGGTGATGTAATTGGATTGTGAAACAAAATAATAGTCAGCTATAGTCTGTAATTTCAACTATTTGTCAATATTAGGTAATCTTGCCAAGGCAAGTATCTATTAAACAAAACAAAGTTCAACAATTATTTGGTTCTTTCCCTTTAGGCTAAAACAGGCCTTAGAAACGCTTATTTATTTATTAGAATGTATTCTAATATGTTGGTTATTAAATCTTCAGAGCTCATGCCTGAATGTAACAAAACTTGATGGGTCATATTTCGTATAACTATAAATGTACAGCAGCAGCATTCACGTCTGAAATACCTCTATTTTAAGGGGTGCAGCGATGGTCTGTCATTTGCAATCTCATGCATGAGCACCAATGCAAACACGTTTTATTTCTGAACTTTTTTGTCATTTTCGTTTTTTTATGGTTACACTTCTGTGGATCAGTTTTTACTGAAAGACTGCAGTAAATCTACATATTTTACAGGTTTTCCTCTCAAAGGAACAGAATGCTGGCAAGGCCCTCTGACAAAGTGAGGACAAAATAGGGGGGAAAACAATGTAATGTCATCTCAACATGAAAGGACACAACAGAAGGAACAGACGACCACCTGTTCTAGTGAACGCCAAAAAGACAACCTTATCTGTCCTGTCTTTCTTGTATTGCTAAAAACTATGAACGAAAGGGATATCACTTCAAGCAAGAGGTGAATTAAAATGATGGCAGGTACATGATGACCTCTGGAATAGTTTTTACAGTGCACTGGCACTGTAACAGCTAATTTGTGAAAAATAAAGTAGTAAATGTACGTCACAACTTACAATACTAGACCATTTTTGAATACCAGCACATCATGCTGGAAAAGGAGACATGTAATTAAGGTCGGTTGAACTTTTTTCGAAAGAAATGTGCACGCCCAAATAGCTTCATTTGAAAAAAATGTGGTGCTACTACACAGATAATCTGAAGAATGTACAGAAACAGATCTGACCTAAATAAACGACATGAGCGAACAGGGACAATAAATAATGAACTAAAATTATTACTCTCTCACAACAGGGGTGAAGTCTTAAATCCATGTTTTTAGGTAGGTCTTTAAAAGTTGCCCTTGGAAAAATGACCCAGCACTTTAAGGGTGTTTGCCACTGTCAGACGTTGTGCATAAGTGAGCGGAATATGTGTGTGTGCAGTTGCTGAACAACTTCAAAGCATAGACCTTGGCAAAACAACACCAACCAAACACAGCTGCAACAGGAGGAACGAAATTGATAAGGGCCAGGTCAGGAGAAAAACAAAACTTTACAGGTGGAACTGGAGGTGTTGCGGCAGTGCTGAGATCCCCCTGGGCCAAACATCTCGACACATCTGTGTCTGTATAGAAGCTTTTCAAAGAGTCTGATGTTCTCCCATCATACACTACCTACATTGTTGCGCGCCGAGAAGAGTAGCTTGTGGGCTAGGAAAGTTGATTGGCAAGTCATGTATCGGGGGAAGGTCTAGGACACTTTTAGTTGAGGGTTCCTCTGCAGTTCTCCGTGCCACACAGACATGGGATTTTGTTCTCTTCAATGGGGAACTTGTAATCATACGTGATCTCCTCGTTCACACCGATAGGCTGCTTTGAGTATATGACTATCTTCTTCTGGGACTCGATGGTGATCACTTTGGCGTAGCAGTTGGGCTGCGAGAGAGGATGCATGAAATCATGAATAAGATGCAGAACAAGTAAGGGTTTCTTGAATTACATTCCCTCCAATAGGAGTGTTGGAAAGTTAGATGTTGCATTTCTGTTTGTGTTCAGCATAAGCTCTATGTGTGCTCATTTTCTGTTGCTGGAGGGGATTATCACCATGGTGCAAAAACAAATTCCATTCGCAGCTGGAGGAAGAACACAACATGCCTTTCTGGCTTTTATAAACCATGTAAAGACCAGATGCAACATTATCCAAGTCTTATCAGCAATAAATTAGCAAGTCCTACAGCTGCAGGAAGCCCATCAGATAGAGGACAAAAATCTGCAGATCTGGAAGACCATCCGTAAACATTGACATTCATAACTGGATTTGACAATAATGAGTATCCGATGGCCCGGGGTCAGTGTGAAAGACGTTCGAGACAGTTAAGGGAATTGTCTGGCCCGAAGTCTAAGACCTACCTGAAAGCCTTAAAGCACTGATTATTTGGTAACACATTATTTTAAGGTGTCCTTGTTACACATGTTACATGTACTTACTATATGGTTAGGGTTAGGATTAGGGTTTGGTTTAGGGTTACTTATGCATAATTAATTGTCATTATAATAGTAAGTACATGTAGTTATTTAATATTACTCAGTACTTAAATGTATAATTACACTGTAACAAGGACACCTTAAAATAAAGTGTAACCATTCATTTGTATCTTTGTTCTATTGTATTTATTTGTTTTATTGCTTGCAACATGCTTCTTTGTTCTTATTTAATAAGTGACTGTTTTCTTGTCTTTAATAATGTTTCAATTTAATATTAAAGTTGGTATCATAACCTATAACCAATAATTTATTAGAATACGTTTTTCCAAGGCAAATGAAAACTTGAACTAGAAAAAAATCCTATCCTTGCACGACCTTGGTTAACATGACTATCCTCCTTCAGTTTAATTCAATACTGATGGCGGGTTTACATAAATGTGGCGGTAATTGACATTGGGAGTGGCAGCAATATGTTTATCAGATGTCATGTGGTATTTGAGATATATGGATACATATGCGTCACTAGGAGGGTACTTACCGTGCAGCAGTGGTTAATAAACCGAGCCAAGTTGCCACACTTGGTGGCGTCAATGATAGTGTCATGATCGACACGGAATAGGTAGCTGCTCCCAATGCCTTCTTGGGCATATCGCTTCTCCCGATTATCAGCAACCATCTACAAATGGTGCAGCAAACACACAATAACATTTACATTACATTTAGTCATTTAGCAGATGCTTTTATCCCAAGCGACTTACAAATGCTTTTTGTTTTTTTAAGAAAACAAGCAGTTAGTAAATATATAGAGTGCAAGTCTAAAAGGGACAAGTTTTTTTTATTTTTTATAAAGAATAGAATTAGAATAGAGAGTGCTAGAGTTAGAGGGTCAAATAAAGGTGGAACAGATGTGTTTTTAGTTGTTTCATAAAGATGGCTAAGGACTCAGCTGCTCAGATTGAGTTGGGCAGGTCATTCCACCAGGAGGGTACAGTTAATGAAAAAGTGTGTGAAAGTGATTTTGTGCCTCTTTGAGATGGCACAATAATGCGTCGTTCACTTGAAGAGAGCATTGCAATAGTCCAGCCTGGACAGAACAAGGAGTTACTGCCAATGAATTAACAAGTATGTGTTCCTCAAGAGGAACCAAACTCACTTCCTAGTAGAGATCATTTAATAGCTGTTAGTCATACCTGTCTGATACTCTGTCCCACATATTCAATGACCATCTCATCTGCAGCAATGGGTTCCATGGCAAACAGGCCCCATTCGTGGATACGGCTGCGGCCAAACCTCAGCTTCTTCTTACGGAACTGCAGGCAGATGAATTACAAGCATGAAGACATGTAAACACATACAGGACCGACCATGTTTAAAAGCACAAGAATACTATGTGAACATTAACCCCAAATTTGGCCATATACAGAAAGAATAAACATAATTATTCTAATATATTGGTTATTAAATTCTTCAGACAGATCCATGTATTTAAATTTGGATTACGCACACACCTTTCCATCATGTTTTACACTTCTGTTCTAAAGTTTTGGGTCAGCAAGATTTTGGAATGTTTTTGAAAGAAGTCTCTTATGCTCACCAAGGCCAAGGCTGCATTTGTTTGATAAAATGCAAAAATAGTTAAAAACAGCAGTTGTAATTTAAAATAATGGTTTTCTATTTTAATATATTTTAAAATATAATGTATTCCCATGACAAATTTTCAGCATCATTACTCCAGGCTTCATTGTCTCACGATCCTTCAGAAATCATTCTAATATGCCAATTTGCTGCTCAAGAAACATTTCTTATTATTATCAATGTTGAAAATAGTTGCTGCTTAATATTTTTGTGGAAACTGATCTTTTTTGGGGGATTCTTTGATGAATAGAAAGTTCAAAATAACAGCATTTTTTAAATATAAATACTTGATAACATTATAAATGTCTTTACTGTCACTTGTGATCAATTAAATGCTTCTTTGGTAGGGCTGGACAATAATTCAATATTAATAATTAATACTAATAATTAATATAATTAATAATTATTATTTTCAATAACGGTGATATGATTTTTAAACACATTTCCGATATTTCGATATACATTACCAGTGTTTCCCATACATTGATTTATTTGTGGCGTTTGACTTCGTTGAAACTGTCTTCAGAAAAGTTTCGATGGCATTTTTATTTAATCTGATAAAGTATGGTTTATGAGCTGTGCTGCTTTGATTACAGCCGTTACCGGGGAAACCGCTAGTTCTACCACTCTCAAAGCGCCTCCTGCTGGCAGACAATCAGTTTGCATTTTCAATAAGCCCGTCTCCAGCAACATGACTTTGTTGTTGCTCTTTTTTTTTGTTTTCTGCAGCAACTCAGAGCACTTTTCATACTCTTTATCCTGGCTGAAGCACATTTGTTTCAATCTGTAAGAATAATCAGCCTACACTACCAGTCAAAGGTTTTTCAACAGTAAGATTTTTATTGTATTTTTAAAGAAGTCTCTTCTGTTCACCAAGCCTTTATTTGATCCAAAGTACAGCAAAAACAGTAGAATTTTGAAATATTTTTACTATTTAAAATAACTGCTTTCTATTTGAATATATTTTAAAATATAAGCATTTGCTG